CAATGCTTCACCAGCTGCACCCTTGGTGCAGCCCCTGGGCCAACCCCCTCACTCAGCCAGTGAGGGCCAGTTCGTTGCCAGGCCCCCCGGGTCACAGAACTATGTGAAGCCGTGCACAGAGGTGATCACATGCGTGTGCTGAGAGCTCCACATTCCAGCCCCCCTTTGGGCGAGGACCGTGTTGGTCCCTGCATGCAGAACCTGGCCAGCGCAGACTGAAGCCAAGTGTTAAACTGTCCAAGCCCCACGGCTGTCCTAGGGGTGGGAGAAGGAGCTCAGCATGGCACTTGGGATCTCAGGGTCAGAAGCAGACCTCTAAACTCCTGCCCAGAGTGGGGACCGTGTGGGAGAAGGGGCCAGGGCCAGGCGCCGGGGGGCTGGGTATTTGCAGACCGCGGCCACAGGCAGCCCGCAGGAACTCCATGAGCTCCTCCCAACATGGCCGTGAGCAAGGACAGTGTGGGGGCGGCAGGCCTTGGAGAGATGCAGCTTCATGTTCCGGGTCAGGAGCCCAGACCTGGGCAAGTCCTGGTCATCCGCTGGGCCCATTGTGTGGACCTTCCTGATGGAGGGGACCCCGCCGAGGACAGGGAACAGCTTGGTATCCGGGGGCCCAACTAAGGTCCAGCTGTACAGAACAGACAAGCTTCTGGGAACAAATCGATGCACTAGAGAACCAAAGAAGAATGTGGAAACTCCTAGGATAAAATTAATATGACACAGACTAGGCCAATGAAGCAGGAGCATCGCCTCTGGTCCGAGGCCGTGAAGGCCCCGTGTGCCTTCTCCACCCCTCTTCTCCAAGGTGACCTTGGGTGATTCCCAAACTGAAACACGCATGCAGAACACCGGTGGGCCTCATTAAAATGCAGATTCTGCTTCTGGGAGGGGCCTGGGATTCCACATTTCACTCGAGCCCCTGGAGGATGCCGACACCCCAGCACACATGTGGGGAGGAAGAGCCAGAGACTCAGCTCCAAGATGGAGAAGACCTCCCTGACTCCATTGGACTCTTTGGGAGCAAAGATAAACCTTCCGTTGGGTCAAGCCACTGAGATTTGGGGATTTGTGACCTCAGCATAGCCTAATGTGCCCCGATTAACACATTTAGCCAGGCAACCAATATTCACTGACTTGTTAATCGAGGTACATTAGGCCATGCTGAGGTCACAAATCCCCATTTGTGTCCCAAGTCCCCAAATCTCAGTGGCTCTATGTTGCTGCCATGAACTCATTTGTGCCCCAGGCGCCTCCCTCCTCAGGAGGCACTCTCCAGGTGGTGCAGTGCACGAGGTGGGGGGGGCACCAGAGAGGGACAGCCCCTTCAATGCTGCTCCCTCTAGGCATCTAGAAGCACCTCCTAATCCCAGCACTGTCAGTCATGGCGGTGCCAGGATTTGAAGCCAGGATCTTTGGACTTATGAGCCCATGTTTCCTTCCAGTAACGCAAAGAGCAGCCAGGCTCATTCTGGGGTCCTATTTGGGGGAGCTACAGCAGCCCCCAAGAGACTCATAGGTTCCCTGGACTGTCACATCCCTCTAGCACCGAACTTGGCAGTTTTGGGGGGGCCTGCCCCACGTGTAAGGAGTCAGCAAAGTGGCACTTCCTGCTGCAGGCTTTCAGTACTCGGAACTGTGTATGCACGGCTCACCACTGACACTTCCATCCCCGGAGCTGGCCAGGCCCCAGGGCCTCCCTCTGTCCGCACGTTGCCCTCCTCAGTTATAAGAAAGGACCAGTTGCGAGCACACAGCCACACTGTGACTCAGAGAGGCCCCTGGGGGCAGGGGTCGGGGGAAGGATGGTGGTGGCAACACTTCCACTCATCTCTTGTCGCCTCCCTGGCCTGCGCTGGCCCGTGACTTCTTCACCCCCCCCGCTGGGAGCCCACGGCAGCCTCACCTCCTGGCTGTCGGCGGAGGCTGTCCCCTCCGATGCCTCCCTGGGCAGTGTGCCTCTGGCCAGTTCCCCCCACACCGAAATGCTCCTGTCTTCCTTCTTGCCTCAGACGGAGGAGTGGTTCCGGAAACAACTGATCAATGGTGATAGAGGTCAGAAGAGTGAGTACCTGGAAGGGTGATGAGGAACCTTCTGGAAATGTATCTTGCTCTGGGTGGTGGTGACATGGGTGTGCACGTATGTGAAGAGTTATCGAGATGTACACTTCACACTAGCACATTCCCCTCGATCTAAAAAATATGTGCCACCGAGAGCTCTATAAGCAGTAGTCACAATAAATAACAATCAAAACGACAACAAAAGGTTGTGGAGTCCAGTGGACCTGCACTGAAAACCTGGCTCTATTTTCTAGCTGTGCAACCTTAGGCAAATACTTAACCTCTCTGAACCTCCCCTTTCTTATTGAGGTGTAGACTGTGAAGATTAGAACCACCACTTTTTATAAAAAATACTTAGCATAGGGCTGGCTTCCTCTGCGTGCCCTTTATGTAATCACTTCTGTTGTTCTTAAAACCAGTGGTCCTAGCAAGGACGGGGCCCGGGAGTGGTCTTCCCTGAGCGCAGGCAATAAGAGGGGCCCGCGGTCTGTAGAGAATTTAAAGATAAAATGAAACTGATGAGAAGTCAGTATATATATATATAAACCATGTCAGTATAGAAATGTAACTTCTGTCAATCATAAAGTACTTTGTCCTGAAAACATCTTGTCTTGGTCCAAGTTCTAAACAATTGATGCGGTGACTGTTGAATTTTAATTAAGCTTCAAATTTAGCACATTTTAGTTTCTTATCCTTTTTTTTTTTTCTTTTAGAGAGAGAGAGAGAGAGCGCGCACAGGGGAGGGGCAGAGGAGAGAGAATCTCAAGCAGACTCCATGCGGGGCGCAATCTCACAACCCCGAGATCATGATGTGAGCTGAAATCAAGAGTCAGACACCTAACCGACTGAGCCACCCAGGCACCCCCTAATTTCTTACCCTTTAGTAAACCTATCCTACGTGGAAGAGAACTTAGAGATCTCTAGGAAGACAGCTGCCCAGCGCACACAGACTCAGGAGCACACATTCACTGGGAGCAGAAGCTCCTGACAGTTCAGAATCTTGCTCAGCCCTGTCTCCAACCCTGGGGGTGCGGTTCTGCACCCCGACAGTAGATTCAAAGCAACAAGGTCACAGAGTGATGGTGAAAATGAAGATATAGGTATTTCAATTCTCTCGTTCTATTTGAGTTCTTGGAGTTTGGGTTTGTGCTTAAAATTGAAAACAGTCAAACAGTGTGACCGTGAAGTGGGGGGGGGCTGTTTTTATTTGGTAAGTGCAAACTTTAGTTCATACGTGAAAACTATTTGTCTCATCTCATGGTTATTACTGAAAATAATCCTGTTGTGCAAAGGAGCGGGCTGCTCAGCAATGATCCACTCTGGGTGTAGAGCACCCTAGGCATGCCTCGGACTAAAACATAAGCATAAGCATGGATAGACAAACAAATGTACCTGCTTCCCTCCAGGCCTGGGGACACCACCACCCCCACCCTGCCCTCCTCCTCCAGCCAGAACCACCGAGACCTAGCGTGCATTTCCATCTTCATCCTCCATCATCAACTCCTTCCCCAGGACTGCAGCTGGGAGGGAGGCTCCCCCCTCAGCAAGTCACTCAGTCTGACCCTATATCAGGTCACTCTTCTTCCTCACCCACCGCCCATTCTGGAGCCCAGTGCCCTCACTTTGAGGTTTGGGGTCCTGGTGGAGATTATGGGAACCAAAGCCTTCCCCAGCCCCTGCTCGGCACCGCCTGTTATTTTCTTTACCAAATTCTATAGTCCAAGCCCTTGTCCTCACACCCCTTACCCAAAGCAGCTGGAGCATTGAAGATGCCCCCAGAAACTGGGGGATTTGGATTTGGGTGTCCTGCTCCCGCACGTACACCACCACTCCTCCCCTCCCTCAGCTCCAGCCACACCTTGGCTCCCAGGATGGGCACATTATCATGCTCACTCCGGCCTTCGTACTGCACGTACTGTTCTCTCTGCCCGCAACGTTCTGCCATCTCTTACTCCCCACCCCCGCCCCGTCTGTGGCTCTCTGTAAAGACACCTCCTCCGGAAAGCCGTCCCTCACCTTCCGTCTGAACAAGGACCCCACCTCAGTATGCCCAGGAATTCCACCTGTTTTCCCACTGTCATCTCCCACTCTGGGCTTTGTCCCAAGGTCACTGTTGTGTCCCCAGCTCTTACAGAGGGGGCCTCAGAGATGACCGAATTAAACGAAATGGATTTGGTTCTTCCAGATCATCTGGCTGCGCCCGGCAAATGCTGGCACACAGTAGGTCCAACCTGCACGGGTTCATCCACCCTTGGCCACCTTCCAGAGTCCAGGGAAGCAGGCCGGAGGGAGGCTCCTTGGTGCCAAAAGCAAACAGGCCGCCCGGGGAAGTTTTGCTCTGGGTCACACCCGCCTCTGGGTGGCTGCCAATCTTCCTGCCAGAAACCACAGGCCCAGCTGAAACTGCCCAGAGTCCGGGCCACGGGGCTTCGGAGGACTTGGGTCAGCGCTGCAAAGGGGGTGCCTGTGGAGCTCTTGCTGGGTGCACAGCGCCCCGGGGCTTGGGCGGGGGTCTGGGGCAGGGCTACAGCGGCCACAGCCGCAGCTCGGAAGGCCCCCTGGGGCTGGGAGGAGCAAGAGAGGCCCCCGCCAGCCTGTCACAGGCTCTTGGCACTGGCACTGGCTCTGGCTTTCACACACGCACACGCACGCACACACTCACACTCACACTGGCAGGCCCCCTCTTGGTGGCCTCCACGGTCTCATCTTCAGGTAAATGGGCTCATCAGTGGGAGCATGAGGATGGGGAGAGGAAGGGGAATGCAGAGACCAGAGTGTGTGTGTGTGTGTGTGTGTGTGTGTGTGCGTGCGCGTGCGCGCGCGCGCGCGTGTGTGTGTGTGTGCACGCATGCCCAAGAGTGACCTCACAGCCGCCGGAACATAAAGACTTACAGGTCCTGCCTCCCAGGCTCAAAGGCTGGCTCCGTGGGGGACACAGTGACATGAGAGGCGTGCCACAGACCCACCTTCTGGCCTTCTCCCTCCTCTGCCTCCTCTCAAAGGTAAGGGGGCCCCGGGCCCCAAAACGTCTTGCTGACTTCCTCGGCGTGGTGGGGGAGGTGTGAAGTCACTGCAGGATCCCCTGGAAGAACTCCTGCAGGTTCCCGGTGTTGGGCACAGTCCAGCTTCCCTCCCCGGTGCCCAGACGTTCGCCTCTGGCCAGCTCTGCTGTGTTACCTCAGGCGAGTCCCTTCTCTCTGAGCCTCAGCTGCTGCCCCAGCTAAATGGCCATAATGATCATGAGGCCTTGGTGAAGACCACTGATGGTAATTCATCAGAAGTGCTCCACACAGGACCTGGAACGTGGCAGGTGTTCCAAAGAAGAGGGCCATGACTATTCATGGTCCCCAGAGCCCTTCTACAGAGCTGAAGGGGGTGTCCTCATTATAAATGGGGAGACGCAACATAAAATCTGCTTTGCCTAACTGTGAGCCAGGATTTGAATGGATGTTGGTGTCTAGCTGATGGGAAAGTTCCCACCACAAGGGCATTAATGCTGTTGGTCGTGAGTGACCTGCAGACCCGGCTGAAGGGGGACGGGGAGACACCTCATGGAATAATGATCTCCTCTTATGGAACATTTTTCAAAAGGTTTGTGAAATACCTACCTTGCCTAACATATCCAACAACCTCATAAGGAATTATTATCCCCTGTTTTCGGGCAAGCAAGGCTCAGAGAGGGCAAGCAACTTGCCTAAAAGCACACAGCAAAGAAACATTGGAGTAATAGAGGCGGTGGAGCCCAGGATAGGCTTGGGTGTGTGGTGGGTGGGGAAGGCGCACTTCCATTTGTGCTCCTCCTGCTGCCTGTGCCTCTTCCCCTACCTGGACCAAGGCCACAGCTGCCAAGCCCTGTCATTCCCTCAGCAAATACTGAGTTCCCCATGCCATGGAGATCGGCCCCACCACAAGCCATGATCTCGCTGTACGTTCATGCTTCTTTGAAGAGCACGGCAGGAGCCTTTCGCTCCTGGGTCCTGAGCAGGAGTGGGAGCAAGGCTGTGAACCCTGCTGACATCCCAATCCCACTGTTTCTTCTCCCGAAGGGGCTGAGCAAAACCTGATGCCTGCGTGGGTGGCTTGGGTAGTTGGAATGGGGGACTTGGGGTTCTGGGCCCAGGCTTAAATGAAAGACCAAAAGGAAGCCGTCCCGGACTCACTGTCCACCCCTCCCTTCTTCCCTGTCCCTGGGAGCCGGGCAGCATCCTATGCAGAGTCAAGGACTTAGTCATCACCAACATGGAAAGCCACAACCATCCTCAGAGAGAGAATTCTAAGTCTTCCAGCAGCCTGTGGGCTCCTGGGCTCAGGCCTGCGAACAGGGCCTGGTGGCAGAGACCTGGAAACGGACAAAGTCACTGTGACTAAGAGCTAGCCGTGACCTCATTTAATCCCTGTCACCATTTCAAGATAGGTGGTCTCCAACCCCTCTTACTGGGAAGGAAACAGCTCCCTCCCCATGAAGCAGTTAAATGGCATGTTGAAGGTCACACAGCCCATCAGTGGTACAACTTGGATTTCAACTCTTCTCTAGAATATTCCACATCCAGGACTCGTCCCCCTGGTGACTGCCGCAAGGGTCTGGGGAAACTGCATGTGTTAGGAAGGGCCTGGAGATCCAGGGAGTCCAGCCTTGACCCCACACTGTTTTGAGCTTCTGTTTCCTGGTCCTTCCAGGGGGCACAAAGCTGGTACCTAATCTTGCAGGGTTGAATTAGCACATTACAGCTCACGGCTTGCCCATGGCCAATGCTAGCTACAATCATCGATATTACTAGTGGCCCCTCCTGGGTGTCAGGGTGCACACATCCGGCCCCAGCCGAGCTCACCCCATAGAAAACCCAGGGTGGGAACCCTGGTACAAAGCAAAAGGCCTGTGGCCTGACACCCCTACTTTCAGGTGGAAGGGACCCAAGAGCCAGTTCTGGTCAGGATCCCCACTTCTCACTAACCAAGGGAGCCCAACCTCTGATTTGCAAGGGAACCCCAAAGTCTGGCTGATTGCTCCTCAGGCCGATTCCGTGAGAGTCATTTCCAGACATATTACAATGCAGCATTGGATTTATAAAGAGGGGCCCTAGATGCTGCTTCAGACTTCCAGGTGAGGCTGATGCTGCTGTCTGGACCAGGCTTTGAGGGGCAAGGCTAGGCCATTATCTCTAGAATCTCTCTGGTATCACCCAGTCTCTGGCTTGGAATTCCTACAGAGATGGCAACTCGCTCCCCTGTGAGGCCCTGGGCAGAGAGCTGCCCACCTGCCTCACTACCTCCCAGCCTGGAGTCCCCCTTCCCCCCAACCAGGGCTGGTTGGCCCGTGTGGGGCGGCCTCTGGTGGCCAGGGTGCAAGCTGCAGGCCACTGAACGCAGGTTTGCAGGACTGGGGGGTCCTCGGGGTGGGACAAAGTAGGCACTAGGGCAAAGGGGTCATTGCCTGCTTTGGGGCCACACAGAAGTTAGGAGGTGATTCATTCCATTTTTGTAAACTGTAAGTCTTCCATCCTCCAGCTAAAACCCTCTGGTCCTCCAAGGATCCTACTGAACTAAAGATTGGTCCCTCACCAAGGGGGCTACCGGAAACTACCGGGCTATCTTGAATTATGCCTGCCTCTGGGTCCCCACCTTCAGATGGACATATGGGAAGACCATGGCATCTGGTTTCTGGTTTGTTTGTTTCTTTGTCCTGAGTGTGGAGGAGCAACCAGGACACTTGGGTCAATACCTTGACCCTGTCCCTGGGGGGTGGGTCCCTGGCTCAGGCTTTTCCCTATTACAGGATCCTTGAGGAGGAAGCGGGCTCCCAGCTCTGCAGCTAACATGCTGTGACTTTTGGCAAGACGCTTTCTCTCTCTCGAGCTCAGTTTCCCCCATCTCTCCCTGGCAGGGGCATGGGGGTTAGAACTGGAGCAGAGGTGTCAAAATCCTAGCTATACATCAGAAGCCCCTGGACAGCCCGATAAAAATACAGATTCCAGGGCTCTGCCTCTGGAAGTTCTATTTGGTAAGTCCCAGGGGAGGCCTGGGAATTAGTATTTTACCAAGTTTCCTGGCTGATTTGATATGTATCCAGAAACATATTCCGGATTGTTCCAAGATCAAAAGCATCTATGCTACTGTTTGATTTATTCAGCTGTCAAGATAAATATTCGCAGTCTACGTTCTAGAAAATGTATAGTACCCTGCCATTGTAATCCTTTGTTTTGTTGCTTTTGCCTTTCTGTAAGCTTCTAGAGGGCAGGGCCTTAGTCATTCCTTGTAATTCCCTACGGTGATCATCATGGCTAAATGCACGGAGCATCTACTGCATGCCAGGCTGTGTGCTCAGGGTTTAACATGCATCATTTTACGTACTCCTGAAAACAATCATCTGAGTTAAATATTACTAATGCCCCCTTTTCACAGATGAAGAAACTGAGGCTTGGAGAGCTTAAGTAACTTGCCCAAGGTCACTCAGCTAATAAGGAGCAGAGTCAGGACTGCAACTGTAGGCCAAAGTCCTTGCTCATGACCACAAGGGTCCAAGGCCAGGTCTGTGTGACCCGGGGGCCACAGCATGGACCCCTCACTGCCCACCTTGAATGACCAAGTGACATGCTCTGTCTCTGCAGGTGTGTGCCCAGCTGTGCCCGACGCCGTGTGCCTGCCGCTGGCCACCACCCCGATGCCCACTGGGGGTGCCCCTGGTGCTGGACGGCTGCAGCTGCTGTCAGGTGTGCGCACGGCGGCTGGGGGAGCCTTGCGACCATCTCCACGTCTGCGACCCCAGCCAGGGCCTGGTCTGCCAGCCCAGGGCGGGCCCTGGTGGCCGTGGGGCCGTGTGCCTCTGTAAGCAGGTTTGCGGGACCGATGGTGGGTGTGTTTGCGAGGGTCAAGCCTGAGGGGTCCCGAGTCAAAGAGAAGCTCTTCTCTCCCTACCTCCTCAGTGCAGGTACACCATCCATTCCAGCCAAATCTGGGGACGCACGTTTCCCGAGGCCCTCCCCCTGCCCCTCCCCTCTTGTCTTTGCTCCGACTATGCCCCCCACCTGAGCGGCATCCCCCCATTCCTACCTGTCCAAATTACAACCAACTGTCAAAGCCAAGCTCAAACGCTTCTCCCCCGAGAAGTCCTCCCAGATTCCTCAAACCAGGAATCACTATCCTTTCTCAGGACCTTCACAACACTTCTGAGAAAATAAAAGTACAACCGTTTATTTAGGGAGGGCATGGAGTAATAGGTCTCAGGCAGTATGCTGAAACTTACCACACGATCCTTGCATAAATCACATAATCCTCACAAGGATCCTCTGAGGTAAGTCCTTTCAGATTCACAGATGAGCAAACTGAGGCTTGGTAATATTAACTGGCATGATTACTGTTACACAGCTTGGGACCAGGTCACGCAGGTTCTGAAGCAACATTTCGTTCTGTCTTCCTCCTGGATTGGGAGCCCTTGGACCAGAGTTTGGATCCTGAGTTTGTCATTTACTAGTGACCTTGAGTGTGTTACATCTCCCACCATTCCAAGCCTTGGTGCCCTCTGATGCTTTAGATCAGAGTTTCTCAACTTTGCTTTTTGGCCAGATAATTCTTTGGTATCATTCTTTACTGGGGAGGGGCGACTGTCCTGTACTTGGTAGGACCTTCAGCAGCATCCCTGGCCTTTACTCACTGAATGCCACTAGCATGTCCCTCACCTACGAGTCGTGACAATCTGTCTTAGACAAATGTCCCCTGGGAAACAAAATCATCTCCAACAGAGAACCACTACTTTAGGGAAAAACAAAAATGTGATGGTGTTCTTTTTTTTTTTTAAATAAGTCTTGTAGAGCAATCTACGTCTTTCATCTATTTGCATGTATCACTTTAAAAAAAAGAACAAGAGAGATAAGGGCTCATGAATCACTGATAATGAGTCCACTTATAGAAAAAAAACAAGGTTAAAAAAACAAGACTAATAGACATAAAGTTATCAATACTAAACCCTTGTTAAATGCTTTTTTTTTAAATCAGGGGAGTATAATCATGAGAAAATAGTGATTTATTTTATAAACTCATAGATGATTGCTAATAAAAATGTATCTAGGGAAAAAATGAGATAAGTAACTCTTATCTTCCCAGGCTGTTGTTTCAACGAGCCAGGACACATACAAAGCATTTGGCTGAACTTTATTTATCGAACACTTGCATAGCACTTAACTATGTGCCAGGCACTCACAAATATCACCTCATTTAATCTCACAACAACCATATGAGGTTGGTACTAATGTCATCCGCATTTTATAAATGGAAAAAAAAAAGGAGGCACAGAGAGGTTAGGCAATTTGCCCAAGGTCACACAGCTCATAAGTGGCTGAGCTGGGATTTGAACTGAGGGAGCTGGCTCCACAATCTTCATTTCCATCACTCTACTGCCTGACACTCAGCATGTGATGAGTTCATATTGGCTGTCACTGTCACTAAGTTTATTAAGGGGCTTTTCTTATTCCATCTTGATTCAGACTTCAGACAGCTGGAGGTCAAAAATGTACCTGGTCTTTGCTTCTTCCTACAACTCCCAGCCCTGGTCAGGCAACACAGTGGGTGCTCATGAGCCAGATCTGGAGGCTGGTGAACCCCACAGGTGAGACCTCACAGAGGCAGAGTCTAGGTCTTAGCTCTGGAGGGAATCTGCTGCCCCAAACTTTCTTCTCAATTCCTAATTGGGTGGACCTCTGACAGTGCACTCCAAGCTGTGTGTGTGTGTCCTCCGTAGGTTCCTGAACCCCCACACCCCAAGCGTGCAGCCTCCCCAACTCAGCCAAGGGCATCTCCACCCTCCCTGTGGCTTGAGTTCAAAACCACAGTCATTCTTGACATCTCTTGTTTTGCACACCCCAATATTGCCCGCCAGCAAAGTCTTCAAAATATTCTAGAACCTGAAATTCTAGTCCCTCCTCAGTCCATCCACTGCTACCAGCCTGGTCTGAGCCTCGTCATCACACACTAGATGTTGCATTAGCCCCATAACGGTCTTCCCACTTCCGTCCTTTGCCCCCTACTCTGTTCCCAACACAGCAGCGACAGGGGCCCTTTCAATACAGACATCAGATCACATCCCTCCTCCTCCTCAAGGCCTCCAACAGCTTCCCACTGGCTCAGAGTAAAAGCCAGTCCTCTCAGTGGCTACAAGGCCCCGCAGGGTCTTGCTCCTGTTTTCTCTCTGACCCTGCCTAACTCCCTCTCTCCTTCCTGCTCTCTGCTTCAGCCATGCTGGCCTATTTTGTGCCTTAAATACCCGAGGGGGCTCCTACCTCAGGGCCTTTGCACTGGCTGTTTGCTCTACCAGTGTTCTTTCCCCCCAGATATCTGCATGGCAAGCTCTGCATCTCCTTCTCATCTTTCTCAAAAATCACCTTCTTGGGGTGGCCTTCCCTGGTCACCATATTCAACATTCAACATCCCTCTCTTGAACCCTGCCCTCCATTATTTTTCTAGCTCTAATCACCATTGGACGTCATAGACTTTACTTGTTTATAGTGTTTATTTCCACTAGAGTGAAAGTTCCAATGAGGGCAGGATTTTGGCCTGTTTTAGTCATTGCTGTATCTATCATGAATCCCTAGAACACTGCCTGGCACATAGTAGGCCCCCAGTAAATAAGGACCGAATGAATGAATCATAGTAAGAGCTCTGGAGAGCCTAGCAGTAACAGGTATCATTCAGGGAGCATGTCCTGTGGGCACGCCCTTTATACATGTGATTTCTTTTTACCCTCAATAATGAGGTAGGTCCTATTATTAAACTGATTTTGCAGATGCAGGAACGGGGGTTCAGAGGGGAGAAATCACCTGCCTAAGTTCGCACAGTGTGCAAGTGGCTAAAGGTGGGGAAAAAAAAAATCCTCTGTTGTTCCTTCTACAAGGGACTCTCAGAGGGAGAGAGGACGCAGAGATGACCAGATACCTAGACTGGGCTCTGAAGTTACTTGAGGGAGCTTGCTGGACAAGGGGGCATTGGAAGGACCTGGAAGAGGAAGTAGGATTTTGGCAACTATATGTGTATATGGTTGGCGGGGATGAGGGAGTGGCGGACTGAAGAGTGAGTAGGTTTGGAGCCGCCTCCTGGTGTTTGGGACCAGGCACAAAGATGCACACAGACCCCAGGGCGGGGGATGGGGATGGCTGCCCAGGGCTCATCAGCCCCACCCCCAGCCAGCCCTGAGCTGGAAGACCAGGAGAGGAGCCAGGAAACCTTGCTAAAATTATCACCCCTCCAGCGGACTTTCCGAAAAAATCCCTCTGTTTACCAGGCCCTCCTGGACCAGGAGGCCCCAGGCCTGTGGTCCCAGAAGTCTGCTGGGAGACCCCTCAGGATTAAGGTGCAGCTGCCCCTAGTTTCCAGGAAACCAGGGGCCACATGATCCAGGCCAAAGGTCAGGGATTTGGCGTCAGAGGGCTGTGGCCTGGAAGGAGCAGGGAGAGGGCTGGCTCTGGTTCTGTCCTCCCCCGAGGAACAACATCCCCCACTCCCATTCACTGAGCATCCGCTATGCTCCAGACTTGCAGCGAAATGCTTTAACAGTAGTTCCTTTAATCCCCCAGTGGCTCTGGGAGCCGGGTCCGGTGGCTCAGAGAAGTGCAGTGACCTGCCCCCCAGGCCCCACAGTTAGCAAGTGGGAACAGGGGCTGGCGTCCACATCTGTGCAGGTCCCAAATTTCTGCGTGGGTATGGGCCTGTTGGAGGTTTTTCTCTGAAGACCCGGGAAAACCTGCTTTCAGGCAAATCCTTCCCAGACCCAACCGAACTGCCCCCCCCCGGCCCCCGCCACCCCGCGTCTCCAGGACCTCTGAAAGAGGTCCTCCTTGTTCTGCCCTTCTCTGGGAGGCTCACCCAGGCCTCTCCATGGCTTTTCATTCTGTCTTGCAGATGGTGACTTTCACATCTGTCCCCTGCCTGGCCCTCCATCTCTCAAGACAAGGACTGTGTCTTAGTCCTGTCTAGGAGCCCAGTAGTTGGCACCCTGGAGGGGCACACTACGTATCTCTGGAACTATAAGAAATCAGAACCTCTTTCATTAATGTCTCTTCTGTGCTGGGCCTTGCACGAGGCATTCTTTCAAAGGGCATTTCCTGAGGGTCTGTGTGTCCATCCATGCTCTGGGCCAGCACGGGGGGAGGGGGGAGCGGAGTGGGGGAGGGTGCCAGCCTGAACACTCTCAGCCCCAGCCCTCAAGGAGTGCTTGTCCAGTGGAGGAAGTGGGAATAACACCCATATCTTAAGGGCTTCGTCTGAAGAGTGTTTCTTGAGTACTTACCCTATGCCTAGCGTGGGGCTAAATGTTACGGGACTTACCATCTGTACCTGAAGGTACTCAGCTGTTCTCATCAAGGCTATTGTTAAGGCAACTCAGAGAAGTTAAGCAACTTATCCAAAGTCACAAAGCCAGCAAGGTAAGCCTGGGCCGGACAGTGATGACCACAACATAGCACAATGAAAGTGTGTTGCATGAACTCTCCGTGTGTATATAAGTTATATATTATTAATATATAGTAATTAATTATATTAATAGTAACAGCAGAGCAGCTGGGATCTATTGAAGGTCTCTTTTATGTTGGATTCATTACATACATCATTTCATCTAGTCTCTACCACAGCCCTGTGAAGTAAGTGCCCATTATAAAACCCATGTTGCAGATAAGGAAACTGAGGCAAGAAGAAGTGAAGTCGCTTGGCCAAACTGCATAGCTAATAAAGAGCAGAGTGGGGGCTCCCAGCAGGCCCGTGTCCCCACAGCCCCTGTGCCAGGATGCGGTATGCCACGCTGTCTTCCTGCAGGCGCCCAGGCAGGTCGGCAGTGGGGACGGGCCGGAGGCCCCCGGCAGTGCGCAGACGCTTAGGGGCCCTGGTCCCCAGCAGGATCGGGGCCAGCCTCTGCAGGGAGACCGGGTGGAGGATGTGGCTGGCACGGTCTTGCCCAGGGAAAAGTTGGGGGTCAAGGATGGGGGTCCGGTTTCTCCTCTGCAGGGGGAGAGGATGATGGGAGCTGCGAGGTGAATGGCCGCCTGTACCGGGATGGGGAGACCTTCCAACCCCACTGCAGGATTCTCTGCCACTGTCAGGACGGCGGCTTCACCTGTGTGCCCCTGTGCACTGAGGACGTCCGGCTGCCCAGCTGGGACTGCCCGCACCCCAGGAGGGTTGAGGTCCCTGGCAAGTGCTGCCCTGAGTGGCTGTGCGACCAGCGAGGGGAGCTGGGGGTCCAGCCCCTCCCAGCCCAAGGTGCGTGCGGGAGGGCGGGGCGGAGGCGGGGCTTCTCCGGAGCCGGGACCTGTCAAAGCCCCCGGGGGCGGGGCGGAGGCGGGGCTTCCCCGGAGCCGGGACCTGTCAAAGCACAGGTTTCCCTGCCCGCAGCTGGGAGGGGCTGGTGGCTGAGGAGGCTGGGAAAGCCGAGTGGGGCGTCACAAGACCTCTTTAAAACTGACAAACAACAAGGAAATAATTTTAAATCATAAAAAATAGAAACTAAAAATTGGTAGCAGAGCGGGGAAGGGAAAGGAGAGCTAGGATGCTTGAATCAAATGCTCACATTTCATAGCAGAGGTATACTATTATGACATATACTGTTATTGTAGTTATAATATATTGATATGTATTAGTAATACATTTATACCATTTAAATATTACATAATATATTAATATGTAGTTGTTTGGGCTTATCCAAAGAGGAACCAGGCGAGGGGGCTTGCCTCTGAGATGTGGGTTTAGGGGTGGGCAGAGGTGGAGGAAAGATAGTTACCTCTTGCTATAAATTCTTTAGTTTTAGAGAATTTGTTATTGTTACATCACTGGGTTATTATAATTATAGGAACATGGTCTTTTTAAAGAAAGGCATCTGAAAAGAAGGCATTGGGCCATGGATGATGGTGCCACCTGAGAGTAAAGCATGGTGGGTTCAGCATGGAGTCTGCCCAGGGTTCTAAGCCCAGCTTTGCTATTTCCTAGCTGTGTGACTCTGAGAAAGTTGCTTAACTTCTCTGTGCCTCAGTTCCTCCAACTGTAAGATGAGAGTAAGGGCGTCCACCTTGCAGAGTTGTTGTGAAGACTGGATGAGTAAATCCAAGGAAAGCAGTTACGGCAGTGCCTCGCACACAGCACTCTATCCTTGGTGGCTGTCATTATCCCCACGATGGAATGGGACACACCCACTTAAATACACAGGAGAATGCCAGTGAGTTCATCTTACGTATAAAAAAGCGGGATAGGACACTGCAGATGCATATCCGATCTCCATCATGTGTGTCCGTGTGTGTGTGTGCAGACACCCTGCACACAGGTGCATGTCACGCAGGCTTTCTCAACCTCGGCACCAGTGACACTTGGGCTGGGTGATGCTTTCGTATGGGAGCTGCCCTGTGCACTGTAGGGTGTTTAGCAGCATCCCTGCTGGATTCCAGTAGCCTCACTCCCCATCGTGACCACCACGATGTCTCTGGACATTACCAAATGTCCCCGGGGGAGGGCAAAGTCTCCCCCAGTTGGGAACCATTTGGTTAATAAGGACCAGAAGAAAGGACACCACAATAGTAAGAGAGCAGAATAAGATTTCAGGAGGAGGAGAAGCTAGATGGTGCTGAACCCCCCATCTTGTTCCAGGTACAGCCTCAGAAACTCTAGCAGCTTTGCCAGCGGGTGCCAGCACCTCTACACACAGGCCACAACCTCCCTTCTGGAAGATGCCATGGGGTGCAGAGATGAGAAAGCTGCCACGTACTGGGGGACCGTCATGGCCAGCACCATCGTAGTTGCCTAGTAACCGACACAAACGAGGTGCTTACAGCACGGTGCTAAGCATGCCCCCTCTATTATTTTATTCAGCCCTAACAGTCGCCCCCTTAGAAAGTTTACATAGGAAGAAACTGAGGTCCAGAGAGGTTAAGTGACATGACCAAGATGGCACTGCTATAGCAGCTGGGTTGACTTGGCTGCCAAGCCCTGACCTCACGGTGCTGACCTCTCTTTCTTCCCCCCCAGGACCCCAGTTTTCTCGCCTTGTCGCTCCCCCACCCCCTGGTGCCCCCTGCCCAGAGTGGAGCACGGCCTGGGGCCCCTGCTCAACCACCTGTGGGCTGGGCGTGGCCACTCGGGTGTCCAACCAGAACCGCCTCTGCCGACTGGAGACCCAGCGCCGCCTGTGCCTGCCCAGGCCCTGTCCACCTGCCAGGGGCCGTGGCCCGTGGAACAGTGCCTTTTAGAGCAGGCCTGGGAATCTGGAGGTTCCGTGCCCGCCCTCCCCAGCAGGCAAGCCAGTGCTTGGGCCCTGAGCAGAAGGCAGATGGCCCCGCCCCGCACCCTTGGCTGGGGCAACGACATCCAGGCCCCAGAGGACAAGAATGTTCACAAGTCATCTGGTCCACCTGGACCCTGAGATAGAGCCAGGATGTCTGCCCCAGTCCCCCTTCCTCTACCTCACAGCCTAGGCTGGCCAAGGTTTCCATTGTCTTCTGGTCCATTCCCAGCCCCTCCACACAGCCTTTATCAAACATGTGTAATAGGCAAGCTTTCCAGCAGATAGGGCAACCAGCTGTCCCTTAATCATTAGGCCGAGGCAGGTGCTGGGCTGGACTGGCTATTTTTCTGGGGGTGTGGTGAAGAGGGGCACGCAGATATTCTGAATCTCCTGCTTCCTTTCCTGGAGTGACACAAAAACGTCCCCGAATACATGCCTGTGCAAGAGCTTGTAGGTCAGGCTTATGCTGTCTGAGAAAGCCTGCCCCATCCAGGGCAGAATTCAGAGGCTGTGTGCTATGTGAAAATCACAAGGTGAAATCACACTGTCTTGAAGAAAGTCAGAAAACAGGCCTGAGAGTGATCCCTTAAACCCAACTTGTATTAATAAGAATGAACTTTTCTCAGGCACCTGCAATGTGCCAGGCGCTGAGCTAGACACTTTATATATAGGTTGGTGCTTTGCAACATTTAAGACCAGAGAAAAGTAGGGGAGAATGAAGGATAGCCCCTGGGGACTGGGGAACGTGGCCTGAAATAAACCAACCCAAGCGTGAAATTCTGTCTGAAGTCTCATGTCTTATTGTTTTGGTTTTTTTTTAAACCTACATATAAATTTTCCATCCTCCTCTGTGATCTACATGTTATGTTTAAAAATAAAAACTGTGTTTTCATCAGACTCCAACCAGGAAATTGGAGAACACTCTCAGTATTTAAACAGGGATTTCTTCTTATTAAACTAATTTGATTGAGGCACGGTTTACACACAGTGAAACACACAGGTCTTAACATACAGTTTACCAAGTCTCTGCAAACGTGAACACCTGTGTAATCCATCAAGGTACCAAACATTTCCAGAATCTCAGGAAGTTTCCTTCGGCCCCTTCCCAGCTGTCTCCTCCGCCCCTGAAGGCAACCCCTGTTCTGAGTTTTACCATCAAAGAGGATGGATAGCCAGTTCTCGAACCTCACATCAATAGACTCATGCAGTAGGTATTCTTCTATGAATGGCTTCTTTCACTTGGTACCAGCTGTTGGGATGGAGGGTTTGAAGGAGAGCCCAGAAGCCGGGACCAGCCAGCGGAAGATGGAATCACAGCAGGTCCCTCCAGCAAGAGCAGGTGCAGCCTTACAGACCTAACAAAAAGCCCATAGAGCTGGGGAGGCAGACCTGGCTTCTGCTCTCTCCTACCCCCAGGTTCTGGTAGTGCCTCCCATTGGTCAACCCCACTGGGAAGGTGAGAGGCAGGGGAGCCTGGGAGTGTGGGGCACTGAGGTCTAAAGCAGAGCAGGGAAAGGATGACCCCAGCTCCCACGATGGGCATGACACGCCCCTTGGAACAGCCGCCTTTGCTTAGGTACCACCTCCTCCCCAAACCCCAGATGGCAAATCACAGGCAGCATCGAGCTACCTTATCTTCACAAAATAGAATTAACTTCAGTTCACAGAGGAGGAGACTGCTTGCGAAAGTGATCTGTCCAAAAGCTGGTCTGCAGCTGGAGAGGGAATTTAGCCCACGCCAAGGTGACCTGACTCAAGCTTGGGTTGATGGTCTTTCACAGGCTGAGAGTTTCAGTGGGTCAGGCTCCGCAAGGGTAAACGCTGAACACACTGCCGGGAAAAGTTCACGTAATATCTCTAGAAACGGTAACAGCCAGGATGAGGGCAACAGACCTACATTGAAAGATGCCTGCATGTGGGGCCTTTGCTGCCAGGGGCTTTACCCACAACTGCATGTTGCTCTTGGGACACCCCTAAAGGAAGGTGCTACTGATATTCCCATTTTAGAGATGGGTAAACTGAGACGGAGCAATGAATGAGTTGTCCTGGGGTTGTGGTGCTGGACCCCGGGGCAGCTGGCTGCAAGGCCCTCGACCTCACTACTGAGCAGCGGTGAAGAGAGCTACGCAGAGTGGGCTCAGCCACCTGCCCGGTCTTTGCTCTGCTGTTCCCTGGTGTGATCTTAGGCAGGGTATCTAACTTCCTTGTGCCTCAGCGTCCTTTCCTTTAAAATGGGGATAATGGCAGTACTCTACACAGAGTGTTGTTGAGTATTATGTAGTTTGAATAACAATTTTAGCTATCATTCTCTTGACCTTTTAGTGCTTAAGTCTTTTCATCTGTAAAATGGGCATAAATAGCAGTGCCCACCCTATGGGATCACTGTGTTGAGTGAGTTCCCATCACGTAGGGGTGTTGTGAGTATTAGGTCAGTAATTCCTCGTGTTCACTTGAAATATAATCTATTATTATTATTATCCTGCCTCCGGGATTCTTTGCAAGTCAGAGAGTGATATGAGGCAAAGGCTGGGAATTTTCTTGTTTGTAAAGAAGAGGAGGTGGCGGGGGGGGGTACCTGGGTGGCTCAGTTGTTAAGCATCTGCCTTTGGCTCGGGTTATGATCCCAGGGTCCTGGGATCGAGCCCTCCATCGGGCTCCCTGCTCAGCGGGAAGCCTGCTTCTCCCTCTCCCGCTCCCCCTGCTTGTGTTCCTTCTCACGCTGTGTCTCTCTCTGTCAAATAAATAAAATCTTAAAAAAAAAAAAAAAAAGGAGGTGGTGTTGGGGGCAAAGGTCACAGGTGAAAATCAGACTAAACTCCACTGAAATTCATAGCCCAGAGGTACCAGGCCCAGGCTTTCCCTGTTATATATATATGTATATATATTTTATTCTTAAGTAATCTCTACACCCAACGTGGGGCTCGAACTCACAACCCCAAGATCAAGAGTCGCACACTCCACCAACTAAGCCAGCCAGGCACTGCCCCTCCCCCCGTTATATTTGTATTTGTAATATCCATGTTGTTACATGTTCTCAACACTGTATGGTATTCCATTGTATGAATATTTACTACATTTCATTTATCCATTCTATACTTGATGGGTAGTTTCCAGTCTGGGGCTATTATGAAGAGGGTATTGTGAACATTCAAGCCCACATCTTCTGCTAGACATTGGTGAACATTTCTGTTGGATAAACATCCAGGAGTGGAATTGCTAGGGTCTGCGCTCTTTATCCTGGGTCAGACTATCTCCCAATACAATGCAGGTCTCTCTACAATAAGTGCTCAGTAAAGACTTATTGCATAAATAATAAAAGTAAGAGTTAACATTCATTGAGTCCTAACCACATACAAGACTCTGTTCCAGTCACTCACTTGACCCTCATAATAACCATTTGAAGTATAATTATGTCCATTTCACAGATAGAGAAACTGAGATATGGCAAATTAAGGAAATAGCCCAAGTTCATAGAGTTCACAGTTGGCAGAACCAGGATTTAAACCCAGAGAGTCCTGCTCGAGGGCCCATGAGTCACTGTGGCATTCAGGCCCGTCGGCCTGGACAGGGGGGGGGGTGGGGGTGGGAAAGAGGAAACGGATGGGAGAATCCCCGTGGCCCGACCCTGATGTGAGCAGCAGGGAAGCTGAGACACCCAACACAGCCCTGGGCTTTGCGCTGGAGGACGGCAGAATGGAGGGGCCACACCGGCAGAAGCCGGGGAGAGTGGAGGAGCCCCTAGAGGGGGCAGATGGGGGGTTTCCTCAATGTTTTGAGTTTGAGGAGGAACTAGTCACCCAGGACAGTGTGGCTGGAGGCCGCTGGACATCAAAGATGGGTCAGGTGGACATGGACAGACATAGAGACAAGAGTTCAGGTCGGGAATTAGAGTGGCTCGCACAGAGAGGAGTAGATCATCAGATGGCCCTGGCCATTTAGTTACGGCAACAAAGAGAAGTACATGTGTACGCTGGTGTGTATAACCTCTTATCACCCCTGTCCTCCCACTGCTCCCCCAGCCAGGGCCACCACCATCTCTGCCCTGATGACCCCTGCAGCCTCCTCTTGCTCTCCCGGCTTCCACCCTGCTTCTTACAGTGTGTGCCAAAGGGATCCTGGGAACACCAAGCCAGCCCAGGCCACACAACCCACAGGGCTCCGCTCTGTGCCCCAGTCACCTCTCTGCCCTCACCCCCTTGCTCATGCTTCTCTGGCCTCATGGTCCTCCTGGCTGTTTCTTGAACATGCTCGACATGCTCCCACCTCAGGACCTTTGCACTGGCTGTTCCCGCTGCGTGACATCGTCTTCCCCAGATACCCCCATGGCTAATCCCCTTGCTCTCTTTCAGGTTGGACTCACAAGTTAACACTTCCCAGAGAATCCACCTCAGCCACCCTCTTCCGACCCCCCCGATGCATGTAGCATATATCATGTTTTAACACACTACCTGACTTGTTTGCAACATTTATTATTTGTTGCCTGACACCACAAGCGCTGGTTGGGACTTCTTTTTTCTGCTTTGTTCCCTGATGGATTCCCAGGACCTACAACAGTACCCAGGACAGAACCAGGCTTGGTCCTTATTGAATGGATGAAATAATATAGCTTCCTTTTGAAAAGGGATTTAATGGGGCTTAGAAAAGTAAATACGTCGTTGTCAAATGGGAGTGGCTGCCCAGTTGACAGTGATTTCCCAGTGGCCACGTCTGGGTGGGTCAGAGCTCCCCCCATCCCCACCCAACATTCAACCTCAGTACGTCTCAAAGTGGGGTCCCCAGACCAGAAGCATCCGCATCACCTGGGAACTGGTTAGAAATGCAAGTATCTTGTGTCCCACTCCAGACTCACAGAAACTCGTGGGATGGGACCCGAAGGCTGTGTTTTAATAAGCCCTCCACCTCATTAAAGTCTGCGTAAGATTTCTAGAGTGTGGCTGGGGAGAATGGGCGAAGACGGCGGTGTGC